AGCAATAATGACAGGTTGACTACTGGGTTCTCATAGATATAAATACTTGTCATGGTTAATGTGGATTATAATCTTGATGGGGTTGAGACATGCCTAGGAAACATGAGTAAATCTATAAAGGTTTTGTGTCTCATCACTCCAATAATTCCTTAATGAAAGGTCAAAGCATCCCAGGGCCCATTGTATGAACCATGTCTTTCCTGTATTCTGATGTCTGATATCTCTGCCTCAGCTGACCTTGGAGGACTGTCCCTTTCCAGGGCTAAGCAGTTCCCAGAGAAAGTAAACAACTGGCCTGTAATAGTGGATGTCATATCACAGCAACCACTGCAGACCTACAACTCCAGCTACCTCCTTTATTGACTTCTCACACTATGGGCCACTGTTCACCTACCTGATGCCCCTAGGTCCAGGTATCACCAACCTAGCCCTTATGCCCTGGAGCCTGCTGAAATTACTAAATCTAAGGAATCTGAATCCTTCTTACTCGGCTTTGCCCATTCCTTTCCTTCCAGATGAAAATAAAAGCTCTTGCCTCTCCATTACAGTTGTGGATGACCTTAGTGGTTGCCCATCTGCTCCCTCACTGGGTGGCATGTCCTCTCTTCTTGAGATCTGTGATAATAAAAAAGATTTTCAATGGCAATAATCTCCTCATTCCTTGGAATCATCATTCCTAAAAAGTAATAAAATCTATATTTTCAGAAAAAGTGGTGCAAAGGAAGAGGGTGCTTTAGCATCACAGTGGGATGGTATGTTCCAAGACTTTTCTTACGAATATTGCAAGCAGATACCAGCAGATTGTGGCATATTCTCAGGCTGTTGCACTTTTGCACTGTGTTACACTTTTGCATTGTGACACTGTCTGGGTGTTGCTGTGGATTTCCACTGAAAATTCAGAAGTTGAAACTTGAGTCCTCCACAAGTTCAGATCTGAGCTGTGTGACTTGCCTAGATCCAGATTCAAACTCCTGGGGGCACCCCTTTGTTATACTGAAGAGGTCAACTTATAAAAGACTCTTCTTAAGGGCTTCAGGTGTGATTTTTCTCAACTGTTAAGGACAGGATTGGTGTGTACACAGGATGCACTGAGAAGTGATGGGATAAACTGCTATTTTCGACTCATCTCAGTCTGTCCTATGGAGTGGAAAGAGAGCCCTCTCGGGAGGTTCTCCTGTGTTGTGATCAACACAGAGTCACTATAATGGTGTTAGGTAGCAGGTAGATTTGAGCAGTGGGACCAAGTAGTTTAAAAGTTGAATTTCAGCCAGGTGTCCTGGAGCATGCCTATAATCCCAAGGACTCAGGAGGCCTTGGCTGGAGGATTGCAAGTTCAAGGCCAGCCTCAGCAACTTAGTGAGACTCTAAACAAATTTGAGACCCAGTCTCAAATGCTAAGGATGTATCTCAGTGGTTAAACACCCCTGGGTTCAATCCCTGATCCCAAAGACAAAAAAAAAAAAAGTTAATTTCTTACATTGAGACTACTTGCTAACTCTCAGCCTTTAAGAATCTCACACAAGGCCATTAAGATTCAGCTTTGGGTTAAAAAGATAGCAATATATCACAACCCATGACTACATGTTATCTTCAGGGTTATTCTTTCTTCTTAGGGCTCAAGAGTTCAGATTCTTTTTTGGATCTGTACCTCCACTGATCAAAAGAATACAAGTTACCCTTATCAGGACAGGACCCAGATGAAAGAGGGCCTTTGTGACCTTTATGCAAAAATCCCTCAGGATGTCACACAGCTGATTCAGGAACATAAAATTCCCAAATAATATGCATGAACCTCAGTTGTATACTCTGCCTTTCCAGAAAAACAAGGAACTTATGTAAGGACCTGGAGGTTCAAAACACTCTTAAGGCCCCTGTCTCTCTTGGAAGTAGATCCAGGCCCCTCACAGTTGAACTGGAATAAACTATAAAAGAGGCCACCACTATGCCCAGAGCCACTTGGGCCAACCAGAACACAAAGAAACAAACACAAAAGGATTGAGGACTTAAACACACACACACACACACACACACACACACATTGTAAAGAAATTAATACTTCAAACAAAAGACAAGGAGGGGCTGTTAGAGTTCTCTCAGCAAACACTACTTCGAAAAAGTAATAATATTGAAAAGGCAGAGAACAAACATGCTGCCTATACACAGTACAGTGGGCACCTGCCCTACCCCACTCTTCTTGTAACCACTTAGAATGTCCATACTGAGTTTCAGCAAAGACAACTACTATGGTTTCAGGCAGCTACAAGTATAAGATACAGAGGAAAAGGGGATAAGGTGGAGGCGGCCGGGGGGTAAGACAAGACAAGATCCTCTACATAGAAGGGAAAAAAATAAAAGGTAATAAAAAAATTACATTGGAGAATGGGGTTGTAGCTCAGTAGTAGTGCTTGCTTCGCATGCATGAGGCACAGAGGTTCAATCCTCAGCACCACATAAAAACAAATAAATATAATAAAGATATGTGTCCTCTGCAACTAAAAAAAAATATTTTAAAAAATTACATTGGTAAATATTATGGTTTGGATGTCAGTTATCCCCCAAAAGTTCATGTGTAAGATAATACAAGAAGGTTTAGAGGAGAAATGATTGGGTTATGAGAGCCTTAACCTAATCAGTGAATTAATCCCCTGATAGGGATTAACTTAGTAGTTATTGAAGATGGGTATGGAGCAGCTGCAGGAGGTGGGTCATACATTTTGTATCTAGTTAGTGGAGTCTCTCTCCCTCTCTCTGCTTTCCAATCATCATGTGAGCTGCTTCCCTCTACCACAATCTTCTGACATTATGTTCTGCTTCACCCCAAGGCCTGAGAAATAGAGCTGGCTGACTATGGATTGAAAACTCTGAAACTGTGAGCCCCCCAAATAAACTTTTTCTCCTCTAAAGTTGTTCTTGGGGCTGGAGTTGTAGCTCAGTGGTAGAGCACTTGCCTAGCATGAGTGAGGCAGTAGGTTCGATCCTCAGCATCACATAAAAATAAATAATAAAAAGATATTGTGTCCATGTACAACTAAAAAATATTAAATAAGTAAATAAACAAATAAAGTTGATATTGTCAGATCTTTCAGAGCAGCAAAAAAAAAAAAAAAAACAAAACTGACTAAACCAGAAATTGGTAACTGAGAGTGGAGTCATTGCTGGGCCTAACCTGACCATATGGTTCAGAAGCTTTTGGAGCTCTTTGAAATTGGTAGGAAGAATTTTGAGATACTTAGCAGTGCAATCTGGAAATGTTTTAGCGGAACTTAATGGCCAGTTCTGCTGGGAGTTCATCAGACCAGAATGGCAATAGAACTGAGCATAATAAAGTCTGGGCTCATGAGGTTTTAGAAGAAAAGGAGAATATTCTTGGCAATTGTACTACAGGTCATTTGTGTAACATTCTGGCTGAAACGTTGTCTGTATTTTGCTCATGTCCTGTGACTTTCTGTGAGGCTGATTTTAAAAGTGATGGACTCCTTTATCTGGTGGAAGAAATGTCTAGGCAGCATAGCATTCAGGTGGTGGCATGGATATTGCTGGTAGTTTTTAGCCAA